ATTCACACCTACGGACAATTTTGAATCACAAATTAATCTCAACATGTTTTTGGACTGTGTGGGAGAAAGCCAGAGAACCCAGAGGGAACCCATGCTACACAGGGAGAACATGCAAACTCCACGCAGAAAGATCCCAGGTGTCCTCACCAGGACGTAACCTTCTTGCTGCAAGGCAACAGTGCGACCAACTGCGCCACCTTGCAGCCCCTGGTGCAGCATGTACAAGATAAAACATATGATAATGTGTTGTAAAGCAATTATATGCTCTATTACAAAGTCTTGGAATTTGACCCAGTCACTGATTCAAAAGCTGACTTGCTCCGATGTAAAGAAGTTCATGAAACCACTTATTTAGGCTGTCCTCTAAAACAGTGCAGTAAATGTCAAGTGATGTCCAAAGAATATATGCAGCTTCTCCACTTGAAAGAGATCTATCCATATACTAGATTCTATTCAATGATCAGTTTATCCTTTTTCCTTCTTTTATTAACAATTCAAGCAGTATAGAGTGACAGTTTTATTTGTTCCATTAGTTTCACTTGTCAAAGCGGTTTTGTAAAGTGGTATTTATTATCAAACCCTTAATAAGCAGCAGCGTCTAGGTGGATTAGTCAGAACAAGTGTGCAACTACATTTTATTTGAAGCGAAAGAAGTTTGAATTGTACTGGAAATCCCAACATTGACAAAAATGCCATATATATCAAGTTTCAATTTGGGTGTAAAATGGTGCACAATATGTGTAGAATATTTTTTATGGAGTGATGCAGCCTAAAACATGAATTCACAGGTTTGAATAGTTCACCCTGTGATGAAATCATGTAGCTTCAATGAAAATGTGGACCAAACTGACACAGTATAACCTCTATAAATGTTTGATGCTGTCAGACAGTGTTGGATAAGTTGATTTTACTAACTGCAAGGCCAATAATGGAGAAATCAGTATTTTGCAGCTATCATAGATATGAGGTAGTGCAGCTGTTTCCATGGGTTTCTTTTGTTGATGACAACATATGTAAAACAACCACCAGAGGGTAGCAGTCAGCCATGACAGAGAGTGTCTTCGCTTAAAGATGCAATTTGTTTGGATTAGAGTAGCCCAATAAATAACGTCACCTCTGCGCTGCCACTGCAGTCTAATGAGCTCAGTCATTGTTGATTTCTATTACTGTAATGAATGAAATGACTCAATTCAGGATTCTGTTGATTTTTTTAATTATTATTATTATTCAAGAAGAATAAATGGGTAACATCATATTTCTGTACCTCCACAGAGGCGTCAGTGGTGAGGATACATCACAGCAAAAACTTGTATGCCAAGACAATGTACTCAAATGGAGTTGAGTGAACGGCTTCAGAATCTTTATAAAAGACAAAGTATCATTTAGTACAAACTAAACAAAGTGAACTAGCTCTATACTTAGAGAATAATAACTGCCATCCTTCTACACATTTATGCTGTTGACACAACAGAACATGTTGATAGTAGAACAGATGACTGATAGCCCAACATGGGTCAATGACCTTTCACAGTGGAAAACAAACACAAGTGTATCAGAAAAGATACATATTGAAAAATCTAATACAAAAGTAAGTTAAAATGTGTCCATTCCTGTCACTCCATTAACACAATAGAGTTTCAGGAATTTAAGGCAAGTGTTTAAATGCTGACCAGTAATGGTCCATTTTAATAATATTGGTAACTCAATAAGGTAAAATGTGTTATTCATAGAATACAATGATTTACTTTACAAAAGCAAGAAAATGGCAATCCAATAGAAGATTTGCTAAATATTGAAAAGCTTTGCACTGATTTCTCTGTTGAAATTCACAACAATAGATTTGATAATAAGCTTTGACCAGTGTGGTCATCTCAGTTCATCAGGTTTCACTCCTGAGGTGTCTACCACGGCCTCCAGGGGGCGCCGCTGACTGGACTCTTGTCTTTGCTGATGCTGCTCTGGACTGTGGAGCTGAGAGGAGAGAAGTCAGCCTCTGTCAGGCTGTTGTCAGAGGAAGGCTGCAGCTTGTTGAAGTGGTTCAACAGTCTTCTCTGGGACTGTGTCTTCATCTCCTCCTTGGACAGGAAGTTCACCACCTCTTGGACACAGCTGGAGTAGCCCTGATCCACAGCTGTTGTGTTCACAGCTTGATGCCGCTGCTGCAGTCGTCTCAGGAAGCAAACTGTCATCTCCAGGATGTCTGCTTTCTCCAGCTTGGAGTCTGGCTGCTGTTTGAGGAACTCTGGACCCAGGAGAGACTTGAGCTGCTCAATGCTGCTGTTGATTCGCTCTCTGCGTAGCTTCTCCACCAGAGGCTTTCTGAGCTGCAGAGAGAAGAACAGAGTCATTAACAACGTGTTCAGGAGTGTAGTTTTAACATCAACAAATACAATGTGTCATGAATGATGTTAAAGTCTCCATAAAGTTTCAATTTACCTTGTGGGTCAGAGTCAGGTGCTCCTGAGAACTGGTCATGGCTGCAGTGATTGTAGGTGCCATGGTTGGATGTGTGAGCTGTAGAGGTCTCTGTAGAGAGAATCTGATCTCTGCTGGTTTCATCCCTCCTATTTATAGTCCCACATCTCCATATGAATGTGTGGGTCTCTCTCTGGTTGAGGTTTCTCACAGTCTGAGCCAATCAGAGAGCTGCATGAGACAATAAAGCACGCGGAGCAGCAACACGCTGAATGCGGTTATATTGCTTGAGGGACAATAGTCAGATCTCAGGGGAACAGGTGGAGGAGTGGGGGGAGATGGACAGAGGCTCTGTGTGAATCTGGGAAAGTGGTGACCCTGTGGAGGCAGCAAATCCACCGCCTGATGCTGGGATCAATGACTTTGAGTGAGCACACACTTATAGTCTGATCACACACGTGGGAGAATAACGGAGACTGTCCTCCGCAGTAAAAACAGCTCCATACTTGAAAAGCATTCATGCCGTGGATACACTTGTTAGCTGTTGATACTGAAATGAAATGTCATGATGTAAAGGCAAGCTTGACATTTCTAGAAAATTATGTAATTATCTAAATGTTTCACCGAGGAAATATGTTTATCAAAAACTGGTAACTAAATAAAAGCTTTTATTGCCCACATTAACACAAGTGTCTCATTTAGGTGTTTAAAATGAGGTAAAGCTCAGTAACACATCTTGTCCAGATGAAACAGATGTGCTCTCTGTCTTAGGCAGGTTGTTAGTCGATGTTTCCCACACTGACTCCTGTGAGCTGTGAATAATGCAGCCCAATAGTAGTTTGAATGGTCCTCTGTTGTTCAGGAGGGGAAAAAAACCTGACAGTACTAATCATCTGTAGTGAAAGAAAAGCTGCTGCTGAGTTTTATAATTCATGCAATTCTTTTTATTGTAATTTACCACAGTATTACACACTGTGTTCACATCTTCAAAAATGAAGAGGGACTTGAGTGGAAAGCTGGTTGATCGAGGGACGCCGCATTCTGTTTTTTTTCCTGAAACAAAACCCAACAAAAATATATATGCTTTCTTTTTGTTTCTTAGTTAACATCCGTCAATGAACTTGGCATTTAAACAGAGGTGTATGTATGTTAAAACACTGAGAAAAACAAAAGTCTTTATAATCCTTGTTATAAGGCCCACATTGCACTGACAGTTTGGCTTCCATCAATGGAAAAAATATAAAGGTTTAGATACAAATAATGACCCAGAGTGGAAATGAAGTTGGCAAAAGTTACAGAGTTGGCACCTAAGAGAGACAGTCAGAGAAAGAAATACAGGGAAAAAAAAAAACAAAAACAGAATAAGGAGTAGAAAAAAAATCTTTCTCTGAAGTGTGCCAACTCCCCTTGGAGAATAGTCAGGTGCTGGTGGGGTTGAGGATGCTAATCACACTGAACTGTGACTTGCTCTCTCACAGCTTTCCCACACTCTGTCCATTGACGGAGCTCCCACCCAACAATGGACATGTGCCTTGTTAAATGCTAATTCATCCACACACAAGCAGCTCCCAGCTCTCCCCTGAGGGTAGAGTTTGCTGTTTAGACACTCTCCTCAATTAGGGAAAGAGAATACGAGAAATAAACACAAGTATTTTGACTGGGGATTAACAATTAACAATTCCAATAGGGTGGAGTTTCATAATAGCATTCATTTTATATGTATTTTTTTAAGAACACCTTCCATTTCTAAGAAGTGTGTAAACATTTGATAAATAATTTATTGTATTCATTAAAGTACAATATGTGTCAGAAATTTAAAGTTCTCCTTTTAAGACATTTATATTATTAGAGGGTAGCTCTGTAGTAGTAGTCGTAGTAGTAGTAGTAGTAGTAGTAGTAGTAGTAAGTATACTGCATTATAGTTTAAGGAATCTGTATTTTATGGTTTGTTTCTTTTTTGCATTTTTATCACAGAAAGAAATGGAATTATTGTATTTATATTTGTTTAAGATGTAACAAAATACACAATTAATGAATTTCCATGTATGAATGGTAAAGTCCTACATTATATCCTACTCACTTATGTGTAGACAAATACATTATTAATCAGTTTTATCTGCTATAGCTACTCATTGATAGGTTTGTATACTGCTTGTAAATGCTATTTAAAGGATTTAAGACTTTGTATTTTTAGTTTAAGGCATGCTTTACTGTAAAAAAAAAAATGTAATAATGGCTGCTAGAAAAATGAGATGGACAATATTGTGCAATAAATAAAATGATTCATTTGATAATTTAGCACCATTGTGTGTGTGTTTTTTTTTAAAAAAAAAGTGTAATTTTTAAATTCAGAGAGACGAACAGTATTACTGCTAAAAGCTCAAACAAACATATTTTTCAGCTTTTGTGAGTAAAATATGTAAACATTTAAAATTCAGTGGTAAAGAATTCCTCCCCCCCTTCACAGACATCTTTGTCTGGTCTGCCTCTATTGTCCCTTAGGGGCTCTGTGAGTGAGTTTTCTCTGGTTTCCCACACTCTGTCCATTCACTGCCTCCAAGAACAAAAGAAGTGTGTCTGGTTGCACATCACATTAATTATGGAGTCAGTTTACGAGTTTTGTCTCACTGGTTCTGAATGGAAATTCCTGTCATCAAAACTCGTCACTACCAGGCTTTTGTAAAATGGCTACGAGGAATGCAGACATGCTCAGGATTAATGAACATTCAAAAGCACTTTTTCCCCTCCTTTACATTCAAATTGTTCTTCTGCATTCCAGGCGGTTTATTTTGACAGAAGGATAAAAGGGAGTTCATTCCTGAATTGATCATGTGCTGGTCATTGTGCTAAAGAACTATGAATTTCAAGCTGAAACTTATTCAACTATCAAACTTTGTTTAAAGGAGGGCCAAGGATCCAGCTGCTGATAAAAAGATTTGGTTTTTAAAATATATAGAAAAGTTCTCTTGCATCCAGGATAGTATCACTTTATTAATGTTTAGTACAGAGGTGGACTGTAACAAAGTGCATTTATGCAAATATTGTACTTCAGTACAAATTCAAGATACTTGTACATTACTTGAGCATCTTCATTCTATGCAGCTTCATACCATTTACCATCTCAGAGACAAATATTGTACTCTTTACTCTAGTTCTCTTGTCTGACAGCTTTAGTTACATTCACATTTTTTCACACCTTTCCTGCCTCTCCAAAAATTCTCCGTACTTTTGAATGTTGGATGTTTTTGACATGGTGAATGTATAAGTAATTTTTTGGGTTGAGAAAATTCCACTGCTTCTTTGGATACATGAACTGTTTGACCTTAGTTCAGCTGCAAAATGCAGAGTTACAAGAAGTGAAAACAGGGCAGGTTTTCTAAGTTTTTAGAAATACACAGTTGTCACAGGGCAGCAATGCTACAAATACATGATGGTCTTACAGAATATGATGCATTGCTGTGGATTTAACTACCAAACAGTAATTCAGGAGTTATAACCCCATTCAGGACTTTCATGTTGCCATATGTAGAAAGTCTTTCAGGGTCCATTGGATCCCAAGAAATAATATGTACAAAATATTTGTTGGTATTCATTAAAGACTTTTATACCATGTCAAATAAATTTTGTGATAAGTTGACGTATTTTTGGTTCCAAATACATGACAAATGTCCCTCTTTTAATATATATATATATAAAATAAAAAATCTTCAAAAACAAAACAAGAAAACAATACCTGTCACCTAAACCAAATGGCCTGGGGTCCAAAAGACCCCAAAGTCCTGAATAGGGTTAAACATCTACAGCAGCAAAATGCAACATGCACATTAACACAGAAGTAATATGAATCCAAAAACATCATATGTACCACTAACTCAATGTTAGGGAACACTATTTTGCACAATGACTGCTTTTACGTATGATACCATGTGTACATTTTGCTAACAATATATACATAGTTTTACAAAATAAGCAAGGGTTTGAATGCAAGACTTTAATTGTATTAGACTATTTCCACAGTGGGGTATAAGGAATTTTACTTAAATAAAGAATTAATCAAGTATAGGAGACTTTTTTGTATTGGTCACTGTTTTATTTGTTAGAGAGGTTTCCTAAATATAAAGCAGAAATATATGAATGCTCAGCTTAAGAAAAACGAAACTATAACACAGTTTCATTATCAGTGTCTGATGTCTGTGATGGGATGATGAGCGTGTGCTCAGTCAAAGTCATTGATCCCAGCATCAGACAGCAGATCTGCTCTCTCTACAGGGTCACTACTTTCCCAGATTCACACAGAGCTCTCTGAGTCTCCCTCCATCACCCCCTCCCTCCCCAGTCCTCCAGCTGTTCCCCTGAGATCTAACCATTATCCTTAAGGCAATAACACCATTCAGAGCCTTGCATCCTTTATTGTCTTGCCGAGCTCCCTGATTGGTTGAGACTGTGAGAAACTCCAGGCAGACCAAGACCCACACATTCATATGGAGATGTGGGACTATAAATAGGAGGGATGAAACCAGCAGAGATCAGATTCTCTCTACAGAGACCTCTACAGCTCACACATCCAACCATGGCACCTACAATCACTGCAGCCATGACCA